TGGCACATACCTGTAATCCCAGCGGCTCGGGAGGCTAAGATAGAAGGATTGTGAATTCAAAGCCAGCTTCAGCAATGGTGAGGTGCTTAGCAACTCAGTAAGACCCTGTCTCTAAATCAAATACAAAATAGGGCTGGGGATGTGACTCAGTGGTTGGGTACCCCTGAGGTCAATCCCTGCTACAAAAAAAAAAAAAAAAAAAAAAAAGCCATACAAAACAAGCAAAGGACCAGACCTGGCCTACGGCTGATTTTGCCAACTCCTGATCTAAGACAAATCAAGCAAAGAGAAAGATTTAAACCATTTCACAAAATATCCACCATTCCTAGAGAAAGTCAGGGTCAGGTAGCAGTGGCAGTGAAATCTCACTTTTTATACAGTAAAGGTTATCTGAAGGCAGTTTCTACTGAAATAATTCAAGAAGGGAGACAAAAGCCCTAACAAAGAAATTAAGTTTCTGACTCCACAGATAAAAAGTGATCAGTATGCTCTCTGGGGACAGAAATCGAGAGTTGCAGGGAGCTGTCCATGGAGTTCTCAATGTGGGAAACTGTAATTTTACATGACTTTATGCAGAAAGAAAGGAAGCAGCAATTTAACAATCAAGTCAAAGGAAAGATCAGGAACAAGATGATTATAATCAGAGCAGAGGAGCAACAAACTCCAGACAGGCTACGAATTCAGGGACAGGATTAAAAAAAAAAAATGGTGATCAGTGAAGCTGAAGCTAATAAGGACCATCAGATAATAACACCAGCCAAGTGCAAAACGGACCTGTCTGAAGAGATGGTTTACAAGCCTGTTGCTAATGGGTGGATACTTCCAAAATCTCTTCAAATACTAAAAAACAATCTGAAGTAAGGGCTTCATATTGGAGGCCTCCATGGAGACTAGAGGAAGGCAAGCACTTGATGAGAATCTGTCAGTGTTTCTCCGCAGGATGGGCCAATGAGGGGGCCCTGGGCCCTTGGTGTGCCCACCTTGGTTAGGGCAAGATGCACTGGCATCCAGTCCTCCTGCCCCTGCGCACGCACTCTACCCACCTACCACTCCAGAAACAGAATGGCTTCCTATACTTTCCTCTGAGGACAAACACTCTGGCCAGGCCACCCCCAGTGTCTCTTCTACTTGGAAGTTTTCTCTCTCCTTATAAATTATAAACTGGTATTCCCATGTATTAAGTCTCTAATGACTTTGATAAGCATGAATAGTCTCCAAAAAAGTCTTTTATTTGGGGGGCTGGGGATGTGGCTCAAGCAGTAGCACGCTTGCCTGACATGCGTGAGGCCTGGGTTCAATCCTCAGCACCACATACAAAAAAAGATGTTGTGTCCACCGAAAACTAAAAAATAAATATTAAAAAATTCTTTCTCTCTTAAAAAAAAAAAAAAAAAACAAAAAAAAAAAACTCTTTTATTTGATACCAGGGACTGAACCCAGGGGCACTAAATCACTGAGCACATCTCCAGCCCTTTTTTTTTTTTGATGTTTATTTTTTAGTTTTAGGTGGACACAATATCTTCACTTTATTTTTACGTGGTGCTGAGAATCGAACCCAGTGCCTCACGCATGCTAGGCGAGCACGCCACCACTTGAGCCACATCCCCAGCCCCTATCTCCAGCCCTTTTAAAAAATATTTTGTTTAGAGAAAAAGTCTTGCGAAGTTGCTTAGTGTCTCGCTAAATTGCTGAGGCTGGCTTTAAACTTGCAATCCTCCTGCCTCAGCCTCCTAAGCCACTGGGATAACAGGCATGCGCCACCACACCTGGCTCCAAAAACCTCTTAATCATAACCAAGGTGAAATGATAAAAACACCTGGTAGAGCCAGGTGTGCACGCCTGTAACCCTGGTGGCTTGGGAGACTGAGGCAGAAGGATCACAAATTCAAAGCCAGCCTCAGCAACAGTGAGGTGCTGAGCTACTCAGTGACACCCAGTCTCTAAATAAAATACTAAATAGGGCTGAGAACGTGGCATGTGGCTCAGTGGTCCAGTGCTCCTGAGTTCAACACCTGGTACCTCCCCGCACCCCTCCCCCTGCAAAAAAAAAAAAAAAAAACCCTCACCTGGCAGTTTTCCCTTGTATTTTCTAGAATGCACACCAAGGACAAGGCACATAACCATAAGCAGAGGCTGTGGCCGTTGGGAATGCCGCCTCTGGGGTCAGACTGCTTGGTTTGAACAACCCCAGTTCTACCACTTCCTATAGGACAGAGATCTGCATCTCTAAGAATCACTGGGAGGATTAAAAGAAATGCAATGAAATACTGGGTACAACTTCTGGCACCTGGAAAGTGCTCAATTCAAGGTAGCTCTGTTTTGCTACCACTACTGTTGTCTTTATTATGATTACTGATTGTAACAATGGTGTTAAATCCTTTTGCTGAATTCACTGACTAGAAGTTGACCTCCACTCACAGCAGTTTTCCTCTTCATCTGACACTCTGAGAGCATTTCCTCTTATATTTTTTTAATATTTTTAGTTGTAGACACAATATCTTTATTTATTTTCATGTGGTGCTGAGGATAGAACCCAGTGCTTCACAAGCACTCTACCACTGAACCACAACCCTGGCCCCAAGCATTTCCTCTTCTTAGGACAATATGTAAATTCCAATCCCAGATCCCACCCAACTTCTTCACCAGTTTTTTTTTTCTTGTACCAGGGATTGAACTCAAGGACAGTCAACCACAGAGCCACATCCCCAGCCCTATTTTGTATTTTATTTAGAGATAGGGTCTCACTGAGTTGCTTTTTGCTGAGGCTAGCTTTGAACTCACGATCCTCCTGTCTCAGCCTCCCAAGCCACGTGCCACCGTGCCCAGCTCTTCACTAGCTTTTAAAGCAACATACAGAGCTGCTCCTCTCCTCAACACTACTGTGGTGACCACAAAAATACAACTGCTCACAGCTGCCCACTTCTAACCAGCCTCATAGATCACATCAGTCCCCTCAAACTTCCCTACCTCTCTTTCATTACTATAAAATAAAAGTTCTCCAACATTACTGCAGGTTTACCATCTACCAGGCTCCTGAGGCAAAAAGTAACATTTACTTATGTATAAAAGATATGAATGCAGATAGCCACTGGGAATATGCAAATTAAAATCCTTGAGTTGCTACTTTACGTACATTAGAATGATAATAATAATGCCGAAGATAAAAGGCAAATAATAAATGTTGGCAAGGATATGGGAAAATTATAATTTTCATTCACTGCTGGTATGAATGCAAAATGATACAGCCACTTGGGAAAACAGTCTGGCAGTCCCTCAGAAGTTACCTACAGAGTGACTATACACATGATCCAGCAATTTCACTTCTAGGTACTGAAAATATACATCCACACAAAACTTGTACAGTAGAGTGCTTGGCTAGCATGCATAAGGCCCTGGGTTCAATCCCCAGAATCACCCACACAGAAAGAAAATTGTATACAAATGTTCACAGCATCATTTTCATAATAGCCAAAGTGAAAATGACCTAAATGTCCATCAACAATCAGTGGACAAATAAAATGTGGGCTATCTAACCAATGGAATATCACTGGACAAAAAGGAATGACCTACATGCTCCTGCAAGCATGAGCCTTGGAAACGTCACACTAAGCACAAGCCAAAGACGCCATCCCGGAGAACACTGCAGTACACAATCCCACACACACCAAGGCCAGAACAGGCAAAATCTACGTCAGAGAGAACACTGGTGCCTCCCAGGGACCAGAGCGGTTGGGAGGAATGAGGAGTGACAACTAATGAGAATAGAGTTCTTCCTGAGGTGATGAAATAGCTCATCAAACTGACTAGGGTGTTGGAGGGCCAATTCTGAATTTACCCTAAAAAGCACTGGCTGTACACATTAAACAGGTGAATTACAGGGTGTGCAAATAAACCTCCAAAAAGTTGCTAGGTAAAAGATAAACATTTGCAAAATGAACACAGAAAAAGGGAAGAATGCCGAGTCTGCTGGAGGCAGAAAGAGGCAGGGAAACAAAACTAGCCAGCACACCCAGGAAAGTATGCCTGCAAAAATAGAGATTGCAAATCTTTTTTGTTTGTTTGAGAATAGTGGAGATTATACCCAAGGGCTCAGACATGCTAGGCAAGTACTCCAGTATTGAGCTGTAATCTCAACCCTTTCTTTCTTTTTAAATTTTGGGACGGGTCTAAATAGCCCTAGCTAGCCTCAAACTTGCAGTCCTCCTGACTCAGCCTCCCTGGCAGCTGGTATTACAGGCATGTACCACCACAGCCAGCTGCAAATCCATTTTTAAAGCCACTCAGACATCTGTTGGCTTTTCATGTGATTCCAAAACATTTTCACTATCCTAGCTATAGACCATAAAAATGTACGTTTATAGGAGTCTGGGTGACCCCTACATTATAACATAAGCTACAGAGATAGTTACACTTTATTCCACAAACTTTTTTTTTTTTTTTTTAAAGAGAGGCACAGTAGTGCACACCTGTAATCCCAGCAATTCAGGAGGCTGAGGCAGGAGGATCACATATTTGAGGCCAATCTCAGCAACTCAGTGAGACCCTGATTCCAACTTTTTTTAAGAGCTGGGCGTGTAGCTCAGTGGTAAAGTGCCCCTGGGTTCAATCCCCAGTACTGGGGGGAAAAATAAAGGAGAGAGAGAGAAGGTCTTGCCCAGGCTGGATTCAAACTCCTGGGCTCAAACAATTCTGCTTCAGCCTCCTGAGTGGCTGGGATTATGCTGAGCTCTCAGTAGACATTCTGCCTACTGTATGCTAGGAAATGCCCTAGTGTCACGAATGCTGAGATGGCTGAGATGCAGGCCCTGCTCTCAAGGAGCTCACAGCAGAGTGAACTGACAGTTATGAGGCAAGAATCAGGAGAATATTCCCATTTATGTTGCTACAATAAATGTTTCCATGAAATTTATGTGGTTTCCAATAAATGTTTCCATGAAGAGGATGATACAAAATAATTATAGGGTGGTGACATTAACCCATACTTCTGAGGAGTGGCCTACCTGTTGACATGCTCCTCCCAGTCCTCTGGTGGAGGAGGGGCATCTGCATCAGTCCTGGCAAAGATGACATGCCTTTCGCATTCATTCATCACGCTGCGCGCCTTCTGGTTGTCATAGAGTGGCATGGGAGTCGATGTGACTGTCTCCACATCTATTGGGACGTCTGATTCACTGTAAACAGGTGAGAAAATGGGACCAGGCCACAAATACTGCACATAATACCCGTGTTTAACAATCATCTGGCTACAGAAAAATGTCTCTTTAACAGACACTTTATATACTATACATGAGCACATTTATCTACAAGAAATTTTTTTTTTGATCCAAAGTCATCTTTCCCACATTCCTCTAGATCTCTGCATTCTCTGAAGGCACATAAAATCATTTTTAAGTGATTTTAAAAAGTAGCCTGTTGGTTACTTTTTTAAGAAAGACAAATAGTTAATTACGTAGATACATGTAATTATATATACAGAAGTTATAAGCCACATATGACTACCTAAATAAATTTAAATAAAATCAATTTAAAAATCTAGTTCCTACATGTATAAAGACATGAATTGATGTGAATATACTTTGTATACAACTAGATATGAAAAATTGTGCTCCATGAACTGTAATGCATTCCGCTATCATATATAAATTTTAAAAAATTAATAAAAAAGAAATCCAGTTCCTAATCACACCAGATACATTTCTCGTGCTCAGCACACTGGCCACCATATTGGACAACACAGGATTATAGCATTTCTATCATGCAGAGTTCTGCTGGACAGCAATGATCTGGAGTTTTAAATGATTCATATAAACTTTCCTTTTCATTAGTTAACTGGTAGTTAACTATATCTTGTAAAAGTCTATGATTCTCTAAGATCACCTGGTATGCAGACAGCTTAGCTATCTAACTCACTTTGTGTAGCACCTACCACAAAAATGAATATAAATGGATCTTTGAAGCATCTTTCACATTTTAGAATGATGCTAATGAAATTCTAGTGCCATGAGGGCCCTTCCCCAACTCATTAGGTACACTGCACAAACTGTGTCACCAGAAATACCATGCCAATCAATCTGATCTACTAGCTGTTTCCTCAATATCATATTAACTTTTTGACCTCTATGATCATATTGCATCCATTCCCAATGACTGGAATAGTCATGTCATTATGGAATGAAGTGAATAATTGTGCTACTAGATTTGGTAGTGGGCAAAGAGCGGATTATCTTCTCAGATCAGACACTGAGCTAACACTTGTGGACATGTGTGCCTCCAAGACTATTCTTGATTTCAGCATCCCAAACCTCTCCTCCCTCAGTCTTCACAATTCATGGCACCATCCAGCTACTCAAGCCAAAGATCTAGGAGGTATCCTAATTGAACCTTTTTCCTTTGTACTGTTCCCATCCCTTTCCAGGCTATCATGTCTAGCTCATCTCAGGCTACTGCAGTGGCCTTCTAGCTGGTCTTCTAAATCTCACTCTTACACCATAATCTACTTTTTAAAAATCCAAAGTGATCCTCTCAAAATATAAATTGGATCTCAAGCTTAAAATTCTTCAATGACTTCTTACCACTTAGAATCAATTGACACTGCCTCTGCCAACTTCTCTTTACCTCCCACTTAAAACCCACCTGCCACCATATTCTAGCCACAAAGGCCTAAAAAATAGTTCTTGCAATATGCCAAATTCCCATTTTCAGGGTATGTGTATGAAAACAGGATTTATATGAGGAAATAATTTTCTAACTACCAAAACAGCTAATTCTACAGAAACTTACTTTAAGCATACACTTATAATCTCAACTGCTAGTGAGGCTGAGGCAGGAGGATCACAATTTCAAGCCCAACCTGGGCAACTCAGGAAGACCCTGACTTAAAATTTTAAAAAGGGTTGGAGTTGTAACTCAGTGCTTGCCTATCATGTGCAAGGCTCTGGGTTCAATCCCCGGTATCTCAAAAAAAAAAAAAGTAATATAATGAGCTATGGACCCAGGAGTTAGTTTCAATGTTAGAAAGAAGCTTTACATAACAGAAAGGAAAAGATTTCAAATGCTATTTAAAGGAGCTTCTCTGTATGCCTTAGGACAGAGGAATCAGGATTACACTTCTGGTTCAGGGGTCCATGTCTGTAGACCCAGGCTGAGGAGTATCACTTGATCCCAGGATTTAGAGGTTAACTGGACAATGTAGAGATTCCCCTTTCATCAAAACAAAACCAAAAATAAACCAAAAACACAAAACAACCTGAATAAAATGTCAAGGAGGCCAGGTGCAGTGGCACACGCCTATAATCCCAGCAGCTCCTGAGGCTGAGGCAGAAGGATAGAAAGTTCAAAGCTAGCCTCAGCAAGGCCTTAAGCAACTTAGCAAGACACTGTCTCTAAATAAAATATAAAAAATGGTCTGTGGGGTGCTGGGGATGTGGCTCAAGTGATAGCGCGCTTGCCTGGCATGCACAGGGCGCTGGGTTCGATCCTCAGCACCATATAAAAATAAAAATAAAAAAAGATGTTGTGTCCACCAAAAACTAAAAACTAAATATTAAAAAAAAAAATTCTCTCTCTCTCTTTAAAAAAAAAAAAAAAAAAATGAGCTGGGGATGTGGTTCAGTGGTTAACTGCCCCTGGGTTCAATCTACAATACTAAAAAAATTTAAAAATAAAATTAAAAGATTGTGTTAGACTATTCCCTAATATCACAGATCCTATGTCCTATACAACAAAAAGTGCTAATATCATTGGGAAACAAATTAAAAACCACTGTTCTATGTGTAGGGTGTGAGGGTTGTAGCTCAATGGTAGAATGCTTGCCTAGCATAAAAATACCCTAGGTTCAATCCCCAGCACTGCAAAATAAAAATAAGAAAATTTAAAAAACACATCATGGTCCCCTAAGATTCAATGGTGGGGGTGAGATGGAATCTAAAGAAGCTCTCCCAACAAAACTGAAGTCTGTGCTTAAGGAAAGATTACAATTAGGTAAAATTAAAACAAATCTCCAAAAAGATTATAATTAAGGGCATAGTCTAATCATCAGAATTGAACATATCAATAAGTCTTAAAATGTAAGAAATCAGACTCCCTTAAAGATCAAAAGAATTGCCAAACAGGTTTATATAAGCCAAATGTAACTGTAGCTCCTATCAGGTAATAAATTTATGAAACTTCCTTATCCTATAACATAGGCTGGCTGAAAATACTAGACTAAGAAGGGTTTAGATTAAACCATGGAGTTCAGTAACAACCCAAACTGAGAAGGCAATGTCTTAGGAATTTGCTCCTAACCTGTGTGTGTGAGGCCAAGAAATGCAAAACAGCTACTGTTGCCACTATCAAGCAAACCAGAGCACTGCATCAAAGTGACACAGGTCTTACCCTGTATGACAATTATTTATTTATTTTTGGTACTGGGGCATTTAGTATTATTTTTGGTTTTTATTTCTTTTGGTATTGAACTCAGGGGTGCTTTACCACTGAGTACCTCCCAGCTCTTTTTATTCTGAGGCAGGGTCTTGCTAAATTTTGGAAGCTGGCCTGGAACTTGCTATCCTCCCAAGCTGCTGCAATTATAGGGATGTACCATCATACATGACCTGTGTGGCAATTTTTTTTTTTTTTTGGTACCAGGCATTGAACCCAGGAGTGCTTAGTCATTGAGCCATATCCCCCCCACCCCAGCCCTTTTTGTTTGTTTGTTTTGTTTTATTTAGAGACAGGGTCTTTCTAAGGCATGGGCCACCATGCCCAGATGTGTGTGGTAATCTTTTAAAATCAACTTCTTAGCATTCCTTTTCATCAATTTAATTCTCTTCAATTTCCTTTTCCCATACAAGGCTTATCTATGTGCAAAAGGGAGTCTGCTTTCCTTTACACATCTTGCTTTTCTAACTCTTCTTAGGAGATGTCTCCTGTGATAATGTCCAGATTTAGGCCTGATATTTTTATGCTGCTCAACCGAGATGCCCAAATTAAACATCCAACCTTCCCACACAACACCCCCCAATCATCCCCAAGAAAATTCTTACTGCCCAGTTCCGGCAGTACCAGCCTTTGGGAAAGAAGCCCAAACTCACATGGTATTCTCGTGCTGCCTCCGGGGAGTAACAAAGAGCATGCGGGTAGGGCGGGCACTACTGGCATCTGGGTGGGCACTCCATGGCTTGGCATAGCTATGGTCCAGAAAAACCAAGTCCAGTTCCCGTTCGTGCACTGAAAGCTGGAAGAGCAGTGAGGTGCCCATGCGACGAGCTGAAGTCTGGAAGTCCCTCTCCCCACCCCGGTGGGCCATGTCAGTAGAGGGGCAGCAAGTCAGAGCATGGGTATCTGCATGCTAGTCACCTGTGGCGAAAAGTTTCAGTTTAAGTCAATTCGAATATTCTAAATTTTTCCCAACCTAGACTATCTAACGTGCTTCTGTGACCGCTATCAGTCCCACTGCATATTATTCAGCACATCTTTGCCCACGCTGGGAGGGCTCCTGAAATTTCAGAGCCACCACCAAAAGGGTGATGGTGCCATGAGTCCCCCCCATACTCAATTTCTACAAAATTCCCGAACTGGGGCGCTGACTGCCTCCCTGGTCCACAAAGACCTACCCTGGGACAGACCCTGGAGTTACTACTCGGCCAGCACCACACTTTCCTACATGGGACGGAAGGATTCCGGCAAACTACAGGTATCACAAACACGAATTCCAAAAAGCTGAGGGTTTCTTGTTTCCATTCTCTAAAGCAAACGTGGGAGGAGCGGGCGGCTCGTGCAGCGCAACGTGGGCGGCCGGGGCTCCCTCTCCTCCTCCCGGGGTACGCTCAGGAAAAGTTTTACAGCGACTTCACGATACTCTTAAGTTTGGGGACTACAACGAGGCGCGCTCCCCGTAGCAGCCTGGGCCAGGGCGATGCCCCGGGAGCCCTTTCTCCCGGCCCGGGTGGAGCCCCCCGCAAAAAGCCCGGGGCTCCAGCACCCTCCGAGGTTCCCGCCACTGAATCGCGAGACGGCTCCTCCCGGAGGCAGAGCATGTGATCCCAGGGAACGGCCGCGACTGAGGCTCCGGGGCCCAAGCGACTTAGCCAAGGTCGCCGCGGGTTCGCGACGAGGAGGAGCCGCCCGGCCCCCGCCTCCCGCTCCCCCGGCGGCCGGGTGCCGGCGTCACCGCCGCCCCGGCTCCGCACGCCCGGCCCGGCCCGCCCCGACCTCCGGCCCCCGACTCCCGCAGGCCGGGGTACCCCAGCGGCCTTCGCCAAGGCCCCTGCCGCCCCGCCCGCGGCCGCACTGGCGGCCCCCTCGGCCCGCCGCCCCCGCCGCGAACGAGCCTGCGTCTCACCCGCAGTCGTCGGGCCGCGCGCTCGCCCGGGCCGGGCCCCAGCGCGCGTGCGCGCTACCGCCTCCGTGTCCTGGCGCTGCAGCACCGCGCAAAACGCGGAAACGGATCGTGGCCCGGCAAGGGAGGGACGGTGAGCGGCAAAGTCCGGAATGGATTCAGCTCCAGCGACTCAGTGCGCAATAGCGGAGCCGTGAACGCGCGCGCATCTCCGAGGTAGAAATTTCCACCGCCTGCCTGTTCAACAAGGAAGGCCAGCACAAAGGATGAGTTCAACTCTGACTGACCCCACTAACTGCCACCCCCTCCGCAATTGCTCCCTTTCTCTGAGCCCACAGACCCAGAGGCAGGGCTGGGAGGGCGTGCACCAGACTCACCTCCACCAGAGCAGCCCCCTAGGATTGACTCTTTAGGAATGTGCTTGTTAACTCTTTATGTCCTATATAGGATTGACTACTGGGGACCTAATGGGATTTATTAGTGAGCTGGGGGTGAAGTTCAGAGGTATGAGCAAGGCTCTGGGCTCTATCCCCAGCGGGGCCAAAAATGTTAAAAATGTTTTATTCATTAAGAATTTTCTCATAACAGAAGAAACAGCCACAGTAAAAATAATAAATTAATTTTAAAATGAATTAATTTAAAAATAATTCGTGAACCAAAAATTGTTTCAAAAAATAAAGTCTATTAAATGTAATTAACAAGGGGTTGGGTGTAGCTCACTGGTAGAGCACTTGCCTGGCATGATTAAGGTCCTGGGTTAAATCCCTAACATTGCACAATAAATCAATAGCAAAACAAAGCGTTTATGCAGAGTTTTTCTGGATGTTGTTGGTCCTTCCACGTGATATAGAGGGGAGTCAGGACCAGGGTTTTAAGAATAAAGAGAAGGTAGCTGGAGGAGTTTGAGAATGTGGGTGGAATCTCAGCTCCAATATCCAACTCCCAAACTCTAAGTAGGATCCCAGGAGACAAGACTTCAGCCTTCCCTCAACTCTAAATGAGCAAATGCTGAGAGGATAAGCCAGGTCATGCAGTCACCTGTCAAGAACACAAATAGATTTCAAGATGGTAATTACCATGCAGGAACACCCAGCCCTTAAGAGTGTTCTAGAAGAAAGATTTCCCATTGAGGTGTTTGAGAGGCATCTAGAAGGGGAAGTCATTGAAGCTGAGTGCTGAAGTACCAGGCCTTGCAGAGAGGTATTGGAAAGCCTGGAGAGGGCCCAGGCAGAGGGGACAAAGGAGCAAATACAGCCTGACACCATTTTCTTTTTTTTTCCTTTTTTTTTTTTTTTTTTTTTTAGAGGAGAGGGGGGGGGGAGAGAGAGAGAGAGAGAGAGAGAGAATTTATTTATTTTTTTTTTAGTTTTTCGGCGGACACATCTTTGTTTGTATGTGGTGCTGAGGATCGAACCCGGGCCGCACGCATGCCAGACGAGCGCGCTACCGCTTGAGCCACATCCCGAGCCCTGACACCATTTTCTTTAGCCCACACATCATTACTTTCTTTCCTTTGTGTGTGTGTGTGTGTGTGTGTGTGTGTGTGGTGCTGGGGATTGAACCCAGGGCCTGTGGGGCAAGCACAGTTCTATTCAATTGCAAACTTTTTTTTTTGGTACTGTGGGTTTAGCCCAGGGACCCTCTACCACTGAGCTACATCAAGACAGGGTCTCACTAAGCTGCCTAGGCTGGCCATGAACTTACAGTCCTCCTGCTTCAGCCTCCCGAATCACTGTAATTACACACACGTGCCACTGCACCTTGCTCAGTTGCAAACATTTAACACTTGGAATATTTTGTATAAAAGCCCAGATTTCCAATTCTCTTGAAAAATGAGAGGCTGTGACAGCACTAGACAGGCCTGGGGTCTGAACATGCCCTCACTCTAGCCATGGCACTCCACCTCCTTGACCTCTGTGGCATTTGACTCATCATCCACCCACACACACCAGCCTCAGCCAGGACTTAAATGCAAGATCCCCAGCATCATGCCCCATTCTCCAGGAGGCTTAGCATGTCTTGAGATGGGTGATGGCCATGAGTGTTGGGGACAGGATTGGGAAACTATGGGAGTGCTGATGGCACACCTGTTCCTGTCTCTGGGCAGGTTACAGCATCAAGTGTGAGTACTCAGCATATAAGGAGGGCGTCCTCAAAGAGGAGCTGCTCCTAGCCTGCGAGGATGGCATGGGTGCCTGTGTGCTGGTGACAGTACAGGCACGTGTTATGGGTGAGTGTGAGGCACAGATCTGGTTGGAAGGGAGTAGATACAAGATTGGCCTTGGGATCCTTGTCCAGTCTGGGGTCCCAACTTCTAGGCTCAGGCCCTCCCAGCACCCCACACCTGATCCCTGGGGGACAGAGGACTCTTTGGGGTGGGGTCAGGGCACAGTGGACACACCAACTTGCATGCCTGCTTTGCAGACCGACATCATGGCACACCCATGCTACTGGATGGTGTCAGGTGCGTGGGTGCAGAGCTGGAGTGATGTGGCTTCCTCAGCCTTTCCCCAGGTGGGTGAAGGGGTGGTGTTGGGGCCTCACCCACCCGTGTCACCTCTGCCTTCATTCTCCCACTACCCTGCCTCTCCTGCCTTCTCCTCTCCCACTTCCTCCTCTCCGTATGCCTCAGTCTCCTACCAGAAGAAATGGGTTGAGCCCCCAAGGAAGCTATCTAAGGAGGGAAGGGGAGATCCTGGGGTGGGTTCTACCCACTCTCCACCCCAAACCAGGTGGGCTCCAGTCAGGGTCTGGGAGAGGACTGAGTGGCTCTGTGACACGAAGGCCCATTACTACTGCTGCTGCTGCTGCTGCTGCCTGGGTGCCTCAGCCACCTCTCCCACTCCTCCCTCTTCCCCTCGGCTACCCCTGTGAGTAGGAGGGAGGTGCAGTTCCCAGCCCCTACCCCTCAGGGCTGTGTTACTTGGTTTTTAAATGACTGGTTGGGATAGAACCCATAAGAAATAAAAACTTCAGTGGATAAAAAAAATAATAATAATAATAAATAAAAGTTAAACAAACTAGAACAATAATCTCAAAGCCCATCAATTAATGAATGGATAACAAAATGTGACACATTCATATAATGGATTTACCCAACCAAAAAAAGGGATGATATTCTGACTCATCCTACAACACCGATAAATGTTGAAAACACTACGTCTAAAGTGAACTTTACCCATGCTTTCCTCTGGGGAAAGCAGTTTATTGAATTTTAGGAGCTCATTCTATAAAACCAAATAACCTTTTGGATATTAAATATGTTGTAAATGTTTTCCCTACTTTGGTATTTGTCTTTCAGCTTTAAAGCATATTTTCCGCATAGGACTTTTTAGTTTTAGCCAAATAATGTCAGCCTTTTCTTCTGCAGGGATCTTTGGTGTTATGCTTAGTTTGGAAAATCATTAACAAAGCAAAAAAAAAAAAAAAAAAAAGAAAGCATTGCATTGTGTTTAGAGTTCAAGAAAAACTACCAGAGCATACTTTTTCCTTTTACATCTGCTGCACTAGAAAATAATTGAGCAAACATTCAGCTTTCAGTCTTTGAATGCCACGCCTCTTTCAGAATGCATAATAATAGTATGCTTATTATGCTATTAGTCCTTGATTTTCCTAACCTTTTCTCTTTTAAAATATTCATTAGTTATAATGTACACTTTTAAAATATTGATTCCTCACCCTGACCATTGATTGGATCAGAAGTAACTTATACAATGTTTGAAGCCAACCCAGAAAAGGCCTTACCTAATAGGGACAACAGGAGCAAATGACCCAGCTCCATCCTCACACAAAGACCTAAAGAGCAGCAATGACAGCCACCAGTTCTGTGGTGGCTTAGCAGGATGTGGTGGTGCACACACCTGTAATCCCAATGGCTCAGGAGGCTGAGGCAGGAGAATCATGAGTTCAAGGCTAGTCTCATCAATTTAGCTATGCAACTTAGCGAGACCCTGTCTCTAAATATAATATTAAAAAAAAAAACACAAAGACAGGGTGCTGGGGATGTGGCTCAATGATTAAGTGCCTCTGGGTTCAATCCCTGGTTCAAAAAAAAAAGCTGATTTCCCTCTCTTGAAGAACTCATGTCCAAACTTAGGTTTCCTTTAGAAAAAAGGTCTAAATCTTTTGCTTCTCCATGAGGAAGAACTCCCCCTGAGATCTCAAAAAGACAGTCCTTGAGTTTTCAAGCCTTTTCTCTGATGGCCTCACTTCCCCCAGGCCCAGTCCAAGGGATAGAACCCAGGACTTCACACACGCTAGGCATTCCCAGCCTTTTGTTTTTTTGAGACAGAGTTTTGACTCAATTGCCCAGGGTGGCCTTGAACTTGCAGTCCTCCTGCCTCAGCCTCCTAGGCAACTGGGATTTACAGGTGTGTGCCACTATCTTAGCCCTGATGGCCTCATTTCTTTTAGCTTCTCATCTAAATTATTCACTGATTCACCCCAGACCACTTGTTTATACAGAGAAAACATTTCTCATATGCCTAATCGTCAAGTCAAAAGTACAGCAAGAATAGGAAGAAAGGGAAAGGAAAGAGGGAATGTCAAAGCAGACAGATTACTTTGTTGATGGAGGCTCAGTCCCTTAAGCCACTCACTTGATAGGTACTCTGTTACTCTACCCTCTCCTATTTCCAGAGATTCTTCCCCAGAACCAAGAACTCTCCACCTCTGTGACATCCCCTTTGTTGCTAAGTTCCACTCACCCCAGAGGGATCAAGGCACCCCAAGAAGGAAGCTGTAGTGCTAAAGAAGAAAGGAGAGGAAGACAGAGGTATCCAAGATGCTGCGGCTTTTTGTGGGGTCTGCCAAGATTGAACCACCCCTAACTCCACCGCCCAAACCCTGCCTGACCGTTTACTTCAGAGGTGAGAGCCAGGGTCCAGAGGGAAAGAGGAGCCCCAAGAGGCCACATGCATTCAGTGAAAAAAATACATTTATTGGTATCTTACTATGTAAAAGGTACGCTAGGTGATGCATGATGAGATGGACCCTGTCCAGCACCTTCAAAAGCTGGGGATATAGTTCAGTGGTAGAACTCTTGCCTAGTAACTAGAGCTCTGGGTTTGATCCCCAGCGCTGCAAAACAAAACAAAACAAAACAAAACAAAACAAAAAAACCCTGGTGTGTTAGCACACACCTATAATCCCAGCAGCTTGGGAGGCTGAGGAAGGAGGGTCACAAGTTCAAAACCAGCTTCAGCAATTTAGCAAGGCCCTGTCTCAAAATTTAAAAAATAATAAATAAATAGGGCTGAGGATATAGCTCAGTGGTTACGCACCTCTGGGTTCAATCCTAAGTACAAAAAAAAAAAAAAAAAAATCAACCAAACCAAAAAACCCTGTCACCTTTCTTGCCATTATTTCTTTCATTAGGACTTCTCTGCCTAGTTTTTCCAGGGAACAGTTATGGGAAAGGAAGAAGAGTAATACTTTTCAACTTTCTTCCAAGAACTAGGGCTGTGGCACTGGGGTTGTGGCTCAGAGGTAGAGTGCTTGCCTCACACATGCAAGGCCCTGGGTTCAATCCTTAGCGCTACATAAAAATAAATAAAATAAAGTTATTGTGTACAACTACAAAAAAATAAATATTTTAAATTAAAAAAAAAAGAACCAGGGCTGTGCCATAAACTGAGGTTCAAAGAAAGAAAGATAAGCTGGGCGTTGTGATGCATGCCTATAATCTCAGCTACTCAGAAGGCTGAGGCAGGAGGATCACAAGTTCAAAACCAGCCTCAGCAATTTAGCAAGGCTCTAAGCAATTTAGAGACCCTGTCTCAAAATAAAAAAAAAAATAAACAGAGCTGGGGATGTGGCTTATGGTTAAGCACCCCTGGGTTCAATCCCTGGATCAAAAAAAAGGACTGGGGGTATAGCTTGGTGGCAGAGCACTTGCCCAGAATGCACCAAGCCCTAGGTTTGACTCTAGCCCCACAAAAAAAAAAAAAGAAAAAGAAAAAAATATATACAGGAAGATGTGTGTAGGTTATAGGAAAATACTACACCATTGTATATAGGGATTTGAGAATCCACTGACCTGGATATCCATAGGAGGTCCCAGAACCAACTTCCCAGGATACTTAGGGACAACAGTAGTTCCTAGAAAAGCAAAGAATGAAATTCCTTTAATATTTTTTTTTCTGGTCTGTAAACCATGCTTGTTGAACATGACAATATTCAGAGACCAATACTTGGTACCATGGACTCACAAAGGATGCTGTATCCAGTGTACAGGTTCATAGAGGTGTTCAGGGGGTTCAATACTATTTGCCCTGATTGGTTAATTTTAGAATTAGCCAGGCAGAGACTTGCAGCTCCTCTCCCTGACTGGAGCCCTCTCCCCCATCATATCACAAAGGCACCATTCTCATCCTTCTAGAAATATATCTAACAAAAATGCTGAAAACCACTGGGCATGGTGTTGCATGCCTGTAATCCCAGCGACTCAGGAGGCTGAGACAGGAGGATCGAAAGTTCAAAGCCAGCCTCAGCAAAAAGCGAGGTGCTAAGCAATGTAGTGAGACCCTGTATCTACATAAAATTCAAAATAGGGCTGGGGATGTGGCTCAGTGGTTGAGTGCTTCTGAGTTCAATCTCTGATACCGAAAAAAAAAAAGCCTATGGGCTGAGGATGTGGCTCAAGTGGTAGCGCGCTCGCCTGGCATGTGTGCGGCCCAGGTTCGATCCTCAGCACCACATACAAACAAAGATGTTGTGTCCGCCAAAAACTAAAATAAATAAATATCAAAAATTTAAAAAAAAAAAAAAAAAAAAAAAAGCCTATAACCCAGAACCCTGGGTTCACTCATAGATATACCCACAAACTTTATAAGTTCCTATTTGTTCTTTTTTTTTTTTTTTTGGTACCAGGAATTGAAACCATGGGCACTTAACCACTGAGCCACATCCCAACCCCTTTTTTATTTATATATTTTATTTTGAGACAGGGTCTCCCTAAGTTGCTTACGGCTCTCTAAATTACTGAGCCTGGCTTTGAACTCGTGATCCTCCTGCTTCAGCCTCCCAAGCAGCTCAGATTATAGGTGTGCACCACTATGCCCAGTCCTATTTATATTCAATGTTTGGTTTGGTACTGGGAATTGAATCCAGGGGTGCTTAACCACTGAATCACATCCTCAGCCCTTTTTATATTGTATTTAGAGACAGGACTCACTGAGTTACTAAGGGCCTTGCTAAGTTGCTGAGGCTGGCCTTGAACTCACAATCCTCCTGCCTCAGCCTTCCAAGCTGCTGGGATTACAGGCCTGCGCCACCACACCTGGCTATGTTTGCTATTTTATTCTTTTCATCCTGTCCTTCTCAGCATCTTCCCTGCATACCACCCAGTTCCCTGCACCCCTGGCTCATAGAAACACACACATACACACACACACACATTCACATTCTTTCCTTAAGAAGATGCTCAAAGTAACTTACCATTTTAAAAATTATTTTGCAGGATTATTGACTGTCTTCAATTAAGAAATTTCTGGGGGAGAGGGATTTTAGTGGGTAAAGAGCATTCAGCCCATTACAGATGTCTCAGGATGTCTTAGGGTGCTCTAACCTTTGCCCTGATTATAAATAAACCATGAGGGGCTGGGGTGGTGGCTCAACGGTAGGGCACTTGCCTCACATTAGGGCACTTGCCTCACACATGTGGTGTGCGGGGTTCAATCCTCAGCACCACATAAAAATAAATAAATAAAGGTACTGTGTCCGTCTACAACTAAAAATAAATAAAATAAACCTTGAATCTCCGTGCATAACAACGAAAGTTTACCTCTTACTCACACCAAGTCCTGTGTGGATGGTGCTGGTCAGGGGGGGTCTCTTGCATGGCAGGATCCAGTGGGGGATCAGCTGCTTGTCCCTTGTGGGTGTGAAATCACCACTCTGCAGGTGGCCATAGGGTGAGGGGGAGAGGAGAATGGAGACTCACGTGCAGATTTTGGGAGCCCGGCCTGGCAGTTGTGAATATGGCTCTTGTACCCAATTGACCAGAATGAGCCACACTGGCCCACTTGACTGGAAGACGCTGGGAATGAAGGATTTAGGAAGAAAATGAAAGGGACAAAGCATTTTCTGTCATACAGGGTGATAAAGTGAGAAATTTCTAAACATCCTCCCCTGCCTCCTGCCAAAAAAAAAAAAACACAATCAATGCCCTCTCACACTTGCAGAAGTAGATGGGAAAAGTCCTTACAACGTACTATGTCCCTTGACCCCATCAAGCCCAGACATTGAAATATTTCCTACGACCAATGCTGGCCCTTTGGTGTCTCTGCAGATATGAAGAAAAGAACTCATGTGGCAGAAGGGAATGACCCCATATGGAATGAGGTAGACACCCAGGGCAAGCCCAGAAGAGGAATCACTCACTGACCCCAATGGCAAGGGGACAATGGTGGGGTCCAGGCAGGTGCTTAGAGGCCTGGGGAGCAGACAGGGAGCCTCACCGGCTTTCCCGAGGCCGAGGCATCTCCAATCTGACAAGGTTATATTCCCACGGCTTTCTTAGTGCTTCTTCCCAGCTCTGGGGTTGACCATGGTGTGGCCCATCCACTGATCCAACCAATCCACAGATGTGTGTCTAGAAGTCTGACGCAGAGACAAGGATCCCCGTGTAGGACACCCGTGTCCTCTTCCATCCATTCTTGCTGCCCCTCCCCCAAGCTCCTGAACTCCTAACACAGCTTTCCAGATCAAGCCAAGGAACCCAGATGGGACACCCTATCCTTTGGGCAAGACAGCAAATGCCATCTCAGGAAATTAGACACGAGGGAAGATCCAAGTTTTCGGGAAATATGGTAGCAGCCCCTGTCCCCAGCCTTTCCTCACTTCTTAGGAGGATGTGATGGGGAGGGCAAAGGAAGGACACTGACCTCTCCATGCCCTCCACAGGCCCTAGTATGGTACCTCTGGAATCGCCCCCTGGAAAAAGACTCCTTCCTGCAAATCATCCTTCGGGACATGACCCCATCAAAGAAAGAAAGGTGAGGGGGGGAGAGCGAGAGAGCGAGAGAGAGAGAGTGAGCGAGAGAGAGAGAGAGAGAGGTGGAGCCTGGCTCCCTGACCAGAGCAGCAGCAGCAGATCCATCTCACCTCTCACACTCATTCTGCTGCAAGGACGGAGCTCACTTCAGCCAGTCAGGGAGGAAAGCGGGTGGGGCCTGGAACAAGTTGTTTAGGATGAGAACTTGGGCTTCCAGCAACAGTTCTGGCCTTCTGAAGCTACGGGCCTCCCCTTCCTTCTTCTCTCTGGCTAAATAAAGCCTGGCTTCCTAACAAGGTCCCTTCTAATGCCCAACCCAGAGTGACAACCCCTTGGGAGTGACCTTATGGCAGTTCAGAGAATCTGATTGGCTCAGCTTCAGTCAGGTGCCCACTCTTAGTCCAATCAGCAGTTACTTGCATTGGGAGCCCCAGAGTGAGGAGAGCCCTGCGCCTTCTGGTGGATCCCCTGTTTCCCTGGGTGGTTCTTCAGTTCCTGAGAGAAAACCATCCCAGCTAAGGCCTTTCCTACAACAGAGGAGACCACCCTGTCCCCTGGTTTGGATCTCACCCCTGCTCCTTCCTTCCCCAGGTTCATTGGTTTGGCCACTGTACTGCTCAAGTCATTGGAGAAAAAATCCCGTGAGGTCCTTTTTGTGAAGGACCTGGTCCTGCTCAACCATTCCATGGAGCCCACAGATGTGAGTCAGGCCCAGGAAGGCCACGGCAGGGCAGCTCGGGGGAATTGGAGCAGCTGGTAGAGCTGAGCTTCTGAACTCCAGCAGGGAGCCCACTGCCATTGTCTGCCGACTCCCCCACCCTGCCATCCACCTGGCAGCTCCCCTTCCATCTATCCATTGAGAAAGATCAATAGATTGTCCTGAGAGTTAGCACTGGGATGAAAAATTGAGTTGATTTTTTTTATTAGGGGAGGGGTTACCGGGGATTGACCTCAGGGGCACTGGACCACTGAGCCACATCCCCAGCCCTATTTTGAATTTTATTTAGAGACAGGGTCTCATTGAATTGCTTAGCACCTCGCCATTGCTGGGGCTGGCTTTGAACTCGCTATCCTCCTGCCTCAGCCTCCTGAGCCACTGGAATTACAGGGGTGCACCACCACCGTGCCCAGCCAAAATTGAGTTTTAGCAGACACTTGAAGGCAACAGGGGAGTGGGAAAGCTTTTTAGTGGGGAAATGGTAGGCTCTGAGTGTGCCTGAGTGAAGATGTTACATGGAAACCAGAGACTGGCTAACTAGAATCCCAGCATTCTCTGTGATTGGTTTGGGGAGCCTATTTCTCTACTTGGTCCTAAGTTGTGAACAGGGACAAAAATTAGGGCAACTGTCAGGTTGTTTTTCATCCAGTCCTGGCCATTAGAGGCTGGTGGTCATTGACTGGCGGTCATTGACTGGCTTCCTGGATTGTTGTTAGAGATAGGAGTCTGACTTCCTACAAGTTGGACTTCATGAAGGCTGCCTTCCTGGGCTGGTTGCTGTAGATAATGGATTAGTCGCCTGGGTAGGTTGCTGCAGATTATGGTCAGAGTTTTATTTTTATGTGTAATGTGGCCTCATCTATTTGTATATTATGTCTCTCAGAAAAGCATTCCTTTTTCCAGTGGGCAGGAAAAGAAGGAAACCCAGGCAGGGGCCTCAGTGTGTGGGGAAGAGGCAAGTTCATGGAGGGGGGCTGCCTATACTTTCAGCATGTATTTGGGGGAGAAGGTGAGGTGGCAGAGCTGAAGCAGGGGGTGGCCAAGTTAAAGGGCCCTGTGGTCTGCACTGCTGAGTGGTGGCTTTCCTCTGATGGCTCAGGGCCCTTGGGGAGGTGAGCAAGCCATCTTGGTGATGGTGTAAAGCCAGTTGGGTGGCGAGGTCCTCTGGAAGCAGGAGGTCAGTTAGGAGGTCTTTGTAGGAGGTCAGAGATGCTAAGCTAGGGGGAGAGATGGTTCCTGATGGGCGCCCCGTCACCTCTCCCTCTCCTCACCACCTTCTTGCTGCCATTGCCACCACTGTGTGGCTCCTTTATTCTCCCAGAGCCCTCCACTGCTCTCTCCTCTCCAGTTTATGTCTTCCCTGCACCCCGACTGCGCAAGGTTTGGCCCCATATCAGGGGCATCGTCACTCCCCTCCAGAGGATTGGCTGTGAGCCTGGCCAGCCTGGGAGTGTTCGAGGGTCTGGATGACAAGCCCCTGCCTTTGCTTTGCAGTGCACTGTCAACCTACAGGTGTTCCATATGACCCAAGAGGACTTTGAGAGGACAGGTTTGTCCTTCCCCGGGGCTTCTCCCAGCATAGCTAGATGGGCTTTTTGGAACCTTTGACACCCAACCCTTGAGGCTTTCAGAAGGATTGTGATCAGGTTAGGGTCCCTGGAAGCCATACAGATCTAGTGGTCGCATCCCCAGACATCTGGCGAAGGCCATCTGTCTCCTCGTGTGTCCACTTGTCATCTTCAAACAAAGGCCCAGCCTTCAGTGGGCATAGGGGGTACAAGGATGGCCATTTCCAAGAGCCCCCATTGTGAAGAGTTGGGTCCAGGGATCACAGTTACTGAGGGTGGGAGGGGTCCCTGGAAATGTTCTGGGGAGCACATGTGCCCCTATTAAGGAGTCTTGGCCATGTTTTTAGTCAGTGGCTGGTCATGGGGGGGGGCAGAGTGATGAAAGAGGGAAATGGCTCTGTGCCCCCTGAGCTCCAGCCTCCACGCCCTCCCTGGACTGCTTCTCTAGAAAAGGAAGACGTCTTGGGCATAACTATGAAAGAGGCGGCCCGTCAGAAGCTGATGGTTCCTGGCGCCACCACACCAGTGGTCCTGTCCTCAAAGCCTCAACACTTTCAGGTGAGGACTCCCCAGGTTGAAAGTCCATGTGACCCACTGACATCTTCACCATGCCCCTCAGCCATCCCCTCCCCTTCACAAGGTCATGGTCAGACCCAGCTTCAGGTCCTTAGAACCTCATCACATCCCCTGCTCCTCCAGGGGCCTTTCTAGGAATGTCTGCCTGTGGCTGGGACTGGAGCAGATCTGGTGAGGCAGTAGGAGGGGCCCAGTGTGCGCCCCACAGGCCCCCATAGATGCTGGGAGGCAGAGGGCATGGACCCGCCCTTCCAAGTCTGTGGATTGTTGGCTAAACCAGTGAGAATCCTACAAGGTCAAATCAAACTGTGCGGGGTGGTGGTGGGGGGGAGGCTGAGCAGGGTGTGAGGGGGCGCAGGGCAAGGTCTGCAGATGCCATGTGAATTCCAGAAGCCCATCCATGCCTCACTAACCCCACTCTGATCCATAGCCTGCGGCCCAACATTGCTGCCAGGGTTCTGCCTGTTTCCAGCATGCCACCTGCCCAGGAGGTCCGAACTTGACTTTTCCCCTCTTCCCACATTCAGGTCATGGCCAAATCCTAGCTCTTCCTGTCACCCATTGCCCCACTTCTCCCTTTCCATGCCCATTCCCTGCATGGCGCATGACTATCACTTCCCTGAACCGCACCGACAGATAGCCTCCTCCTGAACCCCCAAACATGGCTCTCTCCTACCTGTTCTTTTTTTTAAAAAAAACAAAACAAAACAGTTTTTTTTTTTTTTGAGAGAGAGAGAGAGAAATTTTTAATATTTATTTTTCAGTTTTCAGCGGACACAACATCTTTGTTTGTATGTGGTGCTGAGGATTGAACCCAGACTGCACGCATGCCAGGCGAGCGTGCTACTGCTTGAGCCACATCCCCAGCCCCTCCTACCTGTTCTTTATTTGCTTTCTGAACCCAGCACCTTGTATATGCTAGGAAACTACTCAACCGCTGAGCTGTACTCCTAACCCTCCCTGTGTATTTTAGTTATCATGGTCTTTCAAAGATGTCTGATCATCATGTCATACACCTGCTTAAAAAAAATCCCAGTGTCCTGGGACAAAACCTAAGTGACCTGGGACCTTGCTAACCCAAGGCTGCTTCGAGTTCAGCTGCTCCTAGCCTTTCCCCTTGGAGTCTCTCTCTATCCATAGTACCTGAAATGCTGCTTATCACAACAACTGAAAGAAGAGTCCCTGTAGGGGAAGGGGAGCCTGGGCCCCCAGCATCTCTCTCCTGTGTGCTTTCCTCTATAGGTGCGGGTGAAGGTGTTTGAAGGGCGACAGCTCATGGGCAACAACATCAAGGCCACAACAAAGGTGACCATTGCGGGCCACCAGCATAACACACGGGTGAAGATGGGAAACAACCCTTTCTTCAATGAGGTAGGCTGAGCGGGGCAGGTCAGGCAATTGGGCCAGGCAGGGGGTGGGCGTTTCCTGCAGGAAACGCTTGCTTCTTATCTAGGGTGTCTTCAAGTAGGTCTCCTACAAGCATTTACTGAGCACGTACTGAGGGCCAGGCACTGTGCTTAGCATTGGGAGTATAGAGCACGATCATTTGGAGCCTTGCCTTTGAAGAGCTGATGGTCTGGTGGGGGTGGGCACAGCACTTGAACCCAAAAGCAATTGCAATCCTTCTGGGCACACCCCCCCACCCATGACCCACCTCCTCCAGGCGCACCTTACCAGCCTACAAAGACCATTCTAACTCGGATGGACTGATTAGGTTACAACTGTCACAACCCAATCACTTCATCACTGAACATCCCTGCATTAACACAGGAGTTTCTGGGGGGACACCTCATATCCAAACCACAACATCAGGGCAGCTGGCTGGCTAGGTTCTCCAGAGACCCCCTCCCCTTCGCCTTTACCTGGATAGAAAGCCCTCTGGGAGTCCAGGAGTCCTGTGTTACTGGAGGAATGTGAGGTGGTCTTAAACTGAAAGTCACTGAAATGCTCAAAGTTGGGGGAAAGAAGCACAGTATTCCAGAGTTTCAGGTTTATTGGGTCCTTGAGGGAGTGGAGAGAGAAACATGGTTCCACCCCACCCCCTACCAATTCTCTCTGCCTCCCAGATTTTCTTCCAGAATTTCCATGAGATTCCAGCAAAGTTCTTCGATGAAGTCATCCTAATCCAGGTGAGGAGCCAAACTGGTCCCCAGCAAAATGGCTCCATTTTCTTGTCCCACCTCAATCCTGAGAAGCACTTCAGCCCTAGCCCATGCCCTTAGAGCCAGGGTCACCTGAAATTGTCTTTCTGACCCCAAAGAAGCCTCTCCACCATCTTCTTTACCCCCGTGGTGGCCCAAGTTTCCCATTCATTTATTCATTCAACAAATGTCATGGATGGCTAACAGGCAGGTTTGAGGGGGGTGGGCTGTGGCGAACAGGTGACCACTTCCATGTG